GTTGAAGGTGGTTTTTCCCCACCAGATCGTTTTAGTCTACCTGCAGAACCATTCGAACTAAATCTTTCCATATAATTCAATTTTGGTTATTTAAAACTTTTTGTGCTTCGTTCCCAGCCTTAGAATTGTCTAATACAAACTCGGCCTATAATCTATAATTAGTAAAGTTTCTACATAATTTGATATGTAAGATACCACACTGAAATAATACATGCCTTGGACAGTTCTATATTCAGCTCTAGTTCTGCTTTTTTTTGCTCAAGAATGCTTTGCGTCATTTCCAGGTCGATATTCATCCAGAATGTTTTGACATCTTCCGCTTGTGCTTGATTCTTAATAGATAATGTGAAAGATTGAAAAAGGAATATTTGAAGTTAGTCAAAACCTGTTTAAAGACCATCCGGTCCAATTTTATTCACAATAATAAGATTTACTAAGAGTACACTATATCAAGTGAAATTTGTTATAGAAAAGATTTGGTTGAAGACAAGCTTGGTATGAAGCCCACCAGAGACGTACTCCATAACTAACCTGAGGTGTACCCAGGTCGCTTGGTGGTTGCATCGACATACAGTCCGACTTTAAACTTAACTTAGAAGCCCACCGGAGACGTACTCCATAACTAACCCAAGGCGTATCCAGGTCGCTTGGTGGTTGCATCGACGCGTAGCCCGACTTCTATATCTTACTGTTTTCTTCTGCCACTATAGCAATAAATCCCACTTACTTTTACTGAAATATTTTTGGCCACATCAACCCATCTCTGGTCAGTGTCAGATTTAATAATTTCTTCCAGAAATTTTGATATCGCAAAATGTTCTTCATGACTGTTGTAGGTAAAGTCACCCTTCGTCCGACGAAACTTTAGGAGGAACAAGAGGGTAAGTTCTTCAGGATTTAAAGTTGCTCGCCATCCATCAAATGATAGTTTTCTGATCGACATTTTTGTTGAACATGTAATAAAGGAAAGAATTGTTTATTAACGTGACATATATGGCGCTTGATTGACCCAGAATTTATATGTAAAATTTTTCCACATGACCGATGACCTATCACCACAAAAAAAACATTTCACCACACTAATTTTTGTGACAAATAGGAATTTCTCATCGAAAAAAAAATATCTGTCCCCAAAATAAATGTACTTAGGTCACGTGGGGTGAATTTTTTTTGTAGTCTGCGAAAGGATACTTCGAACTTCAAAGACATGGGAAATTTTAGTTATAAAAACACTTCAGTTTACGATTGAGTTAGAATAGTTCTCTTCTCTTTAGGCGTATTTCAGAGCGCCTATGGGGCAGTGTAGTAAATTTATTTTATTAATAAACTTATCATTTTTTGTAAATCTTTTTTCATTTTTAATTTGAATGATCAACATTCGTCCGAATTCACTTCACATCACATAGTAAATCATTTTATAAATAAATAAATAAATTATTTTAATTACCTGCCTTACGAAAATAGGAGATAATCAAGAAAGTGAAAATTATGATTGATCACTCAATGACATTAATCTATTTTTACAAATCTTCAATAATGTAAATCTTTTAAAGAAAAATATGGTGAATATTTGCGAAATTAAGTTATCAATGCAAAAAAGTAAATTTTACATTACGGTAAGTTTCATTTTCGATTATAAAATAAAAATGCAAATATGGATCTATTTACAGAAGAATTAGACCCCTAATTATATAATACATTGTAAACTTTAATAATTAAATATATTCCAATACAGTCCAGCAAACTCTGGATCAGTCCATTGACGACACTTGGCGGAAGTCACAAGATATAGTATCATATGATCCGTAATGTGAATAAGTTTCTTATTTTGTCGCACTCTAAAAGATGATTGATATCGATGATACTTATGACTACAGGATTTTGATTCTTTTAACGGACTTTGTGGAAAAGATATATCAGAAAGAAACAGAGTAGAATATCTTTCAGGTGCATCAAAAAAATTTGATGATGAAATTAATGGATTGGTGTTTTTGTGCAACAATGATAAAAATCAACAAAAAGATCCCCAGTGACCTATATCAGTGAGGATGTATTAAATTTATTTGGTTGGTCTGCAATCAGACCAAATGATAAAAATTTCAGTAGAAATCAAACATTAGTTATGATGTCACCAACAAATTCACATTTCAGTGAAATAAATCTTATTGCAACGAGTGGTCTTATCTAGATCATTTCTATCCGCAGATTTCAGTAAAACGTACTTTTCTTTGGAATTGAATTTTTATCAATAGAAAGGTGGAGACTTAAAAGAAAGCTGGTTATCAATTAATTATTCAAAATACATGCATAAAAATTGACTCTTTTGGAAATAAATACTTTGCTTAAACTTTGACCATGATTTATTCATAATTCAAATTAATAAAAAAGAACAAATGCTTATTCCAATCTAATTTTTATTTTTATTGATACTAATTAACGAAGTATGTAGGTAGTATGATGTATATGAGAGTAGCGAATGTTTAAAATTGGTTTGAAATCATTAATTCTGAACTAATAATTTTTTATTACGACATTACCAAACTTTCCACCAAGTAATTAGAATTTCAACTGATACAATATTATACATGAATTAAAGGGTTACCCTTTCTCTCGCATAACTTATTTCATATAAATTTGAAATCGGCTTAGTTTAAGCCTATAATCAATATTTTTAAAATATACTTCACAGGTTACAATACGGTAAGTAAGTTTTTCTAGTTTTTCTGTCTTTTATCTTGCCAAAAAAAGAAGTAGATCAATATTTCTCACTTTGTTGGTATAGCTCGAACCTTTTAGCAATTAACACTAGGATAGGACTAAGACATTAATCGATTCACGTACTTAACTCTACAGACTATGGTTAGAATCTAGTAAAACACGTTTGATCCAGCAAATCTCTAAAAATTATTTAATCAACAAAACTCACGGCAAAACAGCAAAAATCTAAAGAAACATTGAAACAAGAGAAATTCAAAGAGAATCGTTAAAATCAACTTAAATGAAATTTTAACTGAAGCATTGATTATCAACGAGTTTCAATAAATTAATTAATCACGAAACTGATTTCTTTATTACAAATATAATGATACTTGTTCATCATTCTCGAATTGAATTTAATCGTTTGATTCGAATGATTACTTCATCAAACCATCATAGTTTCGAACTTTAATCATTTATTTAATCATCATCTTCGCTAATTTAATCGCTTGTATTAAATGTTGTCTTTATCATTATCCAATCGATGATTTAATCATGATTTAATTGTTTATATCAAAACGAGTTTTTTCATCATTCTTGATGATGATTTATAAAATTCATGTTTATCATAGTTATAAATGACGCTTTAATCGTTATTGTTATCGAATTTATTATCATTCGTTTCAAAATATACTTTTATCATCGTTCTTAATTCCTAAGACTACATCATCATGTCATGCAATATTTTTTCTTAACATCACCTTGGGATGTGATTTTACGATTTTACAGCTGTAGATCGTACTATTCGTTCTACTTGAATTCACTTGCTAAATTATTCTTAGTGTAATTTTTAAAAAATTAAATAATTTCGTAATAATAATTTAAAATTAACTTATTTGTTAATAATAAAACTAATTTAAATTTAATAGAAATTAATTCGTCATTAATAATATAATTTATATTAATTTATTGAGTAATTATTAATTTAGATTTTTGGTAAGATAATGCATAAATATTTCATTTGGTTTAATTTGATTTTCTATAAAACACTAATGCACAATTAGATAGAAACAAATGAAAGTTATTATTATTTTATATGTGTGAAGGTTTGTTGTTAAATTAGAATTAATGTTACATAATGACTTATGATAAGTTTTGGTAATAATTTAAAGAGAGTTATAGCTTAATAAGTTTAGACAAAGAATTTCAACTTAATCATTATGAATAGATACAAATTTATTGGCTTTTGTTCATCAAATTTTACATTTTTATCTAGATTTAAAAGGATTTTAATTTCATCTTTAAACCTATTTACTAAATTCATAATCAGTCTTTAACATTAAATCTTCTTTAGGATTATTTAACATGGCTAAAGATGGGAACTGTAATTAATATGTTGCAACTTTTAATGTTGCAACTTACGTTGCAATTAGTTTTAACCTATATATGTTGCAACTAATTTTAGCTTATGTTGCAACATTTTGTAAATTTGAAATCAATTGCTATACCATCTTTAAACATGGCTATCCTTCTTAATTCATCAGACATATATGGAGAATTATACAATGCTGAATTATTGTTTATATCTTTAATTTTTGTTGTATATCCTCAATCGGCACATTATAAAAACTATATCAATAAAAAGGTAAGCATATATTGATTGTGCACGTGAAATCAATTATAAATAACTTACATGACATCTGAAAACCAGTGTTTTCACCTTTGTTGATTTGGTAACAGGCATAAAAGCTTAATTTCAATCAATACTTTAGCTTTTTCAAGCATAAATATGAATGAGTTCTATTATTTTCAATTTTCAAGTTAAACAATCAAATAAATAAATTCATGAGATAAACCACAATCAAAAATGAAAACATAACTAATAGAGTCATCATGAATGGATTTTTCTGATAAGTTTATGATCCTAGTGCCAATGAATCACCTGTTAAAAACAAATACATAGCCAAGATTGAAGTTTGATATGTGGGAAATTGATTTAATTTAAAATTAGGCTGTTAAATAAATGTTGTTTCAGAACTTATCTCTCCATTTGGTGAAACTGATTGATATTTTGTAACAAGATTTCAGGGATTATTTGGATCAGCATTTTGAAAAGATACGTTCAAATTATAACTTTGATCTGAGATCAAGATTATATAAAAAGCATGTGCAAATCCAATTATGATAATAAATAAGATCAATATGAAGGAAAACATTGTCTTAGTTACATTGACAATTATAGTAAAATTTGAACTAAAGTAATCGAGAGCTTATAGGTATATTATAAATTTAAAATACAAAAATAGATTTGATATAGAAATCAATGATGATGGAGATTTTACATAATATATTCAAAAGAAAAATGTGTATACTAGAACAATATATGTAAAAAGATCTAAATAAAATAAAATAAAACATAATAAATATATATATTAATAAATAAAATTATATTTTTAATATATACCAAACCAATTTCATAGATCTTTGATATACTTTTTACAATCCCAGATAAATTGTCTAATTTCATGAACAATAAGTAATAAACTAAGAAAATGCTAATACTTAAAAAAGTAATTAAAGAAGACAATATTGCACATATTCTGAAAATAAGCAAATATATGATGAAATATCCCAAAAAAGATAATAATATAATTTTCCAAAAACATTCCATTTGAAATTAATTATCACCTCAGCATTTCAACCATAGCAAAATAATTGGTCAACTAATATAACAAATTGACTGTTGTTTGGTCTTAGTAATTCATTAAAGTATATGTAACCAGGTGAATACTTTGTAATATCTGAATAAGGTATGACAAAATTAATAAAATCTCTTCCTATTTGATCTTTCTTATTATTATAATGTATAATTTTTTGAAAAACTTGACTAATTTTCAAAATTCGTTAAATGACATAATTTTCTCTACAACTATATACTTGAAGGTCATGATCTTCACAAGTATAACCGACAAATTTCATTTTACCATTTAGATAATGTTTTTTGATAAATGTATTTGGAGTAGGTGAGGTAACCGGAATGAACTTTGAATAAATAATAGGAAAATGTAATTTTAAGTCTAGCAGATATTTAATGATAATATGATACTCATCGCAATATGGGAGCTGATCTATAAAAAATAGGTTATGGGAACCTTTCAACAAAAAATGAGATTTTTGATTCATATTATAGTATATTAAATGAACTTTATTTGGTTAAATTTTT